GAATCTCGAAACTGCCTTAAAAACAATGACAGCATACTACCTGCAGAATTCCCTGAGACTCAATCGCTCTAAAACCCAAGTCTGCGCTTTCCACCTTCGCGTAAAGGAAGCCAAGCGAAAACTCCAAATTGCGTAAAATGGTACCTAATATATTAAAAGACACAAACTAATCTATATATCTTGGAGTAACTCTGGATCGGTCCCTCACCTACAGACAACATTGCATAAAAACGAGGGAGAAAGTTACTGATAGAAACAGCATACTCAGAACGTTCTGGCATTTTAAGAACAACGGTACTGGCACTGTATTTCTCAAGTGCGGAATATGCGTCCTCGTTTGGGGCAGATCTGCCAACACCAAACAAGTTGATACTGCGCTAATGAGGCATGCAGAATAGTAACGGGTGCATGAAACTAACACTACTCTTAAATCAATAAAAAAACAGCGAGTTTTGCAGAACCCTCAACACGCAGAGACGTTGAAAAGTACATAAAGAAAATAACGAGACGAGCGGTATGCCCTATATAAATCTCGAACACCACTTATCGACTAAAATCCAGGAAAAGCTTTCTTGAAAGAGTGCAGGATGAACCGCCTGAGTATTTTTCTCTTCCCTAGGCTCAATGGACCGGCCAGTTCCTAGACTTTAAAACGTGAAAAACTATGAATAGTATAAGAATGGGGGTCGCTCCAGTAAAATCAAATATAGCAAAATGGTAAAAAGTGGACCAGGATGATGTAAACTGTGACTGTGGAGAAACGCGAAATATGAAACGTCTTATTACATGCAGAAACTGTCCTCATCGATGTACTCTCGAAGATCTGTGGCTCAACAATGAACCGACATAGCACGATACTGGGCCAAATTTTATGAATGACATGTCTGGACACAATAAAGTAAAGTAAATATCTCAATGTTACTTTTTTGTCAATCTTTCCAAACGCTGCTCTTCTACTTCTTTTATTTTTGTCTACCTTATCGTATTATCTGCGCCTTCATTAGTCATTATTTTTGGCTGTTATTTTATTTACTGCATTATTTTGTTTATTATTTTCTTGCTCTGTAGGTATTTCTATTACCATGTGAACATTTACATGTATTGGTTATTTCTATTACTACTTCCTTTGTATTTACCAATTATCTACAATCGTTTTGTAAATTTTCTCATTAATTTTTTGTGGTTCATTTAGTAACATCCATTTTCCTTTTTAAGAAATTTTCGTTCAATAGCTTTAAGTTGATAGCGGCAGGGAGACGCGCTGGCGTGTCTCCTTTTCAACATAGTACTGGAAAAGGCGATCAGCGTTGCCCGAATAGACAACAGAGGAAATATTTTTAATAAATCATCCCAAATTTTGGCATATGCAGATGATGTGGATCTAGTTGCCCGCACAACACATAAGCTAGAAGAAATGTGTACCACCTTCTCAAATGCCTCAAAATCTATGGGCCTGCAAGTAATTTTTTTTTTTTTTTTGTTTAATAAAACTCCAACAGGAATCTTATGACTATTGCTATCTGATCATTCACTATGATCAATAAGCAAGTTAGTTCTATATATAAATATTACAAGAAACTTATCTAAGGTTATATTCAGCAATATTCCTTAGGCTCTAATACATTATAGTACCACTAGCTAACGTGTACACTTTAGCCGCACTTTACTCTGCTTTTTCACTTTCACTCACTTATAGCATTAAATCAAACGGCTTCGTTCTCTTTAGTCTGCTTATCTGGTTGGCGTTGTCTAGGAGTTTGATGGCCTCGACGTTCACGTGGTTGGAGAGCCTCTGTTCATGACTCTCGGCAAACTTACTTATTGTCTGGATAACTGTATCCATCTGGAGGTCTCGATGAAGATCACAGTTTCTAAAGTACCATGGAGCGTTAACGATGTTCCTTAATACTTTATTCTGATATCGTTGTATATGTTGGATGTTGCTTTCTTTTGTACAGCCCCATAGCTCTATTCCGTATGTCCATATCGGTTTAAGGACTTGCTTATATAATAGCAATTTGTTGTAAATAGACAGAGTGGATTTTTTTCCCATCAACCAGTACATCTTTCTGAACTTAATTTCTAATTCCTTCTTTTTTTTTCTTAACGTGTGCTTTCCAACGTAGCTTGGAATCTAACGTCATACCCAAATATTTTGCCGTATTTGCATAAGGTATTTGGTTTCTATTTATATGTACTGGGATATGTTGTTCTCTTTTGTTAGTAAAATTGACATGAACAGATTTTGTTTCATTCAATTTGATACGCCATCGGCTGGTCCAGATGTTAATTTGTTCAACAGAGTTCTGTAACATGGTAGCTGCATCCTCGTGGTTTTGTCCGACTGCTAGTATGCATGTGTCGTCTGCAAATGTCGCAATTGTGTTAGGTTCTAATGATGGAATATCGCTGGTATAGAGCAGGTATAGTACTGGCCCCAGGACACTTCCTTGTGGAACTCCAGCTTTAACTTCTCTTAATTCTGAATATGCTTCCTCATATTTAACTCGAAAGTATCTGTCGGATATATATATGATTCTAGTAGTTCAGAATATTGTTTTGGTAAGTAGCATCTCATTTTATGATATAGTCCATCATGCCACACTTGTCAAAAGCCTGCGCTACATCGAGGAAAATTGCGGAACAAACTTTTCCTTCTTCTAGAGCTTTATATATGATATCTGTTATTCTATGCACCTGATCTATCGTTGAGTGGCTTGCTCTAAACCCAAACTGATAATTAGGAATTAGATTTTTTTCCTCTATAATCGGTTTTAGTCTCTTCAAGAGTAATTTTTCGTATAATTTAGACATGACAGGTAACAGTGAAAATAGGCCTATATGAAGAAGCTTCTTGTGGAGGTTTTCCTGGTTTTAGTGTCATTATAATTTCTGCCACCTTCCATATCTTTGGTACGTACCTCAACCTAAAGGAAGCGTTTATAATATGTGTTAATTTTATAATAGCTTTCCTTGGAAGTTGCTTTAACACTTCCCTAGTAATTAGATCAAATCCAGAGCTTTATTTGGATTTATATTTTCTTTTATTTCCAAATATACTTCTTTTGGAGTTACAAGGCTAATCTCCATTTCGTCTTGATCAGGGAGCTCCCAGTTTATTCTTTCTTGTTCTTCATTTGGTTGAAAAGTATTTTCTAGGTGGTCAGCAAACCTGTTGGCCTTTTGTATATTGCTTCTTGCCCAGCTACCATTAGTATTTCTAATTGGTGGATACTGTAAGATTGGCCTTTTTAATCGTTTAGTAGCCTTCCACAAAGAGTAATCAGTAGCGCTATCATTTGATAGTTCACTTAGGTAAATCGTAACCGATTCGTTTTTAATTTTTTGTATTTCTCTTTTTAATTTTTGTGTGGCATTATTTAATCTAGTTTTATCAACTGGTGCTCTAGACTGATGCCACTTGCGTCTTAGTTTTCTTTTTTCGGTTATCATTTCTCTGATTTCTTTCGGGTAGTTATTTCCTTTTATTCTTTCGACACTGTTCGTGCTGTTGTTCCAAGCAGCTTGTTGTATATTTTTATTGAGTAATTCTACTTCTGCTTCTAGTTGATCAATGGTTCTTAATGGCACTGAAAGGTTAATCTTTTCTTCAAGGTCTATCTGAAAACTTTTCCAATCAGTATTTTTGTTAACAAGTCTAGGGGGCTTTCTTTTTTGATAACAGTGTCACTGAGTGTGTGAATAATTGGAGAATGGTCCGAGGTCATATCCAATGACTCTTCTATCTCTATGTAATTTGTAGAAATATTTCTAACTACAAAGAAGTCGATAAGGTCTGGAATTTTATTTGTGTCAGTAGGTCAGTATGTTGGTTTTCCCGTTGATACTGCGTCGCATTTTATGTATTTCATTGCTTCTAAAAGTTCTTTCCCTTTGGTTGTAGTCAGTCGTGACCCCCAATGCGTATGTTTTGCATTGAAGTCTTCTCCAAGGATAAATCTATGTCCTTGACTGGTCAGGAAATCTACGTATTGATTTTTCTTGATGGCATGTCTTGGCGGACTGTAAACTGCTGTGACGATTACCTCATAATTTTTACATTTAATTTTTACTGATGTGGCCTTAAATTCTTTTGTTCTGTACCCAATTTCCTGATAGTGCATAATATTTTCCTTGATTATTACTGCACTACCTCCTTTGGCTGCATTATCAGGGTGAGTAGTATGATAAGTTTTGTAACCCCTAAATCTAATATATGACTCATTCGTAAAATGGGTTTCAGAAATGAGGCATATGTCTATTTTTTCTATACGACCTGTATACGACCTCCGTTTAGTTGGTGATGTGCCTTGAAGATAGTTAAACCTTTCCTTGCTGCACCACTCATGCGCACTCGTTAAAACGTTTTGAGCTTTGCAGACTAAGCTACATCGTGATTTTCATCACTACTTTTCAATAGTTGCTTTTTATTTTCGGCAGTATGATCTGTAAAGAGATTCAGTTCCATAGTTTGCGAATGACTGAATCGAATGACGTCGTGGACATTATATTCAACGAGAAGCTAGAAAATAGATGATAGCTTCCGACAGCGCCCTGCATACTAGAAGAATTGTAATGAAAATGAACTGTATTGAAATTACGCAGTCCTTACCTTCCACTGGACCAAACATACAAAATCTGAGGGGAATTAATCATTGAAACCAACAATGTATTATAAAAATGTTTTCAAAATATTAAAGATATTAGTTATGACTAAACTAAACTATAAATTATTTGTTTTTATAAAGTTTTTAACTTCAGAGAACAATTTTTAAATAACGATTTATCAAATTTGTTATTGATAATACTCAGGAACAGAAAATGGTTTGCATTTTCATACGAACACTTGTTTCTAACTAATAATTGTTCCTTCACGTAATTCAGGTGTTATATTTATTTAGATTAAAAAAATATCATTTTCAGGTTGATATGCCTCTTAATTCAATCAAGTAATTAATCTGCCTTTTTCTAATAAATGAGCTGAGAGAGACTGTACATACCTGTAAAATATCTAATAGATAAAGCAGCACAAACGAATGTAATAATAAAGGTTAAACATGAAATCGCTGTTACAACTGCTCTAAATATATTATTTTTCCTATGTCCTATAGTTGGATACATTTTAAATGAAAGTATTACCTAAAATAGAAATTTTATATTATTTCACTATATGATAATACCCACAATTACAATATAAATTATTTAGAATTAACAAACATTTAAAATTAGTCTCACTTATTTTATATTCCGTTTTCTATACGAGAAAATTTGACACGTTTATTAAATTGTTTTTAATTTTTAGTTCTTTCAATATACTTATATGAGTTTTAATAACTAATTAATTTTGAACCTTTAATTAACGGATCGGAAGGAGCAAATGTACAAAGATCTTAGGAAGGAGGAAAAACGCATACATCGAAGGAAAAAGCGGACCTTCGAAAACCAGATTATGCAAGAGCTTCAATCATTAAAGGGGCAAAATGAAACTAGAAAGTTCTATAATATCCTAAATAAGACAAGAAAAGAATTTAAACCACGGCTGACGATGTGTAGAGACAAAAATGGACATATAGTCAGTACCGCTGACGCAGTACAAAGCAGATGGGTTGAGCACTTCAAAGAACTACTTGGTACCGAAGTGGAAAATGATGCGTCACCCCAAAGACCAAGAAATAACACTCACGTAGAACCTCCTTCAATATTTGAAGTGAAAGACGCAATCACACGACTCAAAAATAGCAAGTCCCCAGGAATGGATTGTATCCCCGCAGAGCTCATCAAACATGGAGGTAACAGCATAACCAAATTCACAACATAATAGTCAAAGTCTGGGAAGAAGAACAAATGCTAGAGGAATGGTGCACTGGAATCATATGTCCACTGCACAAAAAGGGAGATTTGTTGGAATGTAAAAATTATAGGGGTATAACTCTTCTGAATACAATGTACAAAATATTCTCCAACACCCTGTACAGCCGTTTAAGTACGTAAGTGGAAGAAATCCTTGGTGAGTATCAAAGCGGTTTTAGGCCAGGTAGGTCAACAATTGACCAGATTTTTGTGCTACGTCAAATCTTAGAAAAAACCAATGAATTTAATATTGACACGTTCCATCTCTTTGTGGACTTTAGTCAGCGTATGATAGCGTCCTAAGAGGTAAATTATACGAAGCCATGAATGAACTTAACATTCCCCATAAATTAATAAGGCTCGTAAAAACAACTATGAGTAAAGTGATCTGCAGAGTGCAAATACAAGGCGATATGTCACAAGCGTTTGAAACATATGCAGGGTTACGGCAGGGAGACGCGCTGGCGTGCCTTCTCTTTAATATAGCGTTAGAAAAGACTATAAGAGATGCCGAATTACACAATAGGGGAACAATCTTTAATAAATCAACGCAGATTATGGCTTACGCTAACGATCTGGATTTGATCGCACGTACTACAGGAGGACTTAAAGAGATGACTTCCACCTTCTTGACAGCCGCACAAAATATGGGCCTTAAAATAAACGAGGAAAAAACCAAAATGTTAGCATCTATTCCAAATAACAGAGATAGAGCTAGAAACGCCGAACAAAACTTCAGTATAGACCAATATAATTTTGAGGTAGTAAATAAGTTTACATATTTGGATTCTCTCATTACAAATGATAATGACACATCTGAAGAAGTTAAACGGAGGGTACTGCTAGCAAACAAATGTTATTTTGGACTAAGCAAGCAGCTAAAAAACAGAAACTTAAGCCAGAAAACCAAACTAATAATATATCGAACACTCATCCTACCAGTGCTGACATATGGGTCAGAAACATGGACCATCTCCAAAACAGACGCAAATCGTCTGTTCGTCTTCGAAAGGAAGATACTAAGAAGAATAATGGGCGCATTCTGTGAGAATGGTATTTGGAGAAGGCGATATAATTTCGAATTGTACGAGAAGTATAAAAAAATAGTAAATGGTAGAGATGTAATATCCTTCATAAAAATAGGTAGGCTTAGATGGGCTGGACATGTGTCAAGAGCAAATGAAAATTACCCACCCAGACGAACTCTATTATCGGTCCCAGTGGGAAATAGGAGTAGAGGCAGACCACGATGAGATGGAGGGACGGTGTGGACGAGGACGCAAGGAAAATCGGCGCGGCAAATTGGCAACGGTTGGCGATGAACAGAAACGACTGGCGAAATAGACTGGGGAAGGTCAAGGCTCAACTATAGCTGTAGCACCACTGATGATGATGATGAATTAACGGATCAGAGCTGTACGAACATATCACTTTATAACACCCCATAAAATTATTAGACCCTCAGAGATATATCAAACTGATCACCGGCATCCTGTGGAGACTCTTAAACTCATCACCGCTAATAAGTAAACTTCAGCATGTTTGCCCCAAGGTGCTGGTTTCTAATGAGGAAGATTGCCTTTTTACGTGTTATACTTCTTGTTAACATAGAAATCTGTTAAATTCAGAAATCATTTTAAGTAAAGTGCTTTAAAATTTAACTGATATATTTATATCGGTTGTCTCACGGTAAGTAACCTATTAGACGTATCTAATCAATGGCAATTCACTATCCATGTTAAAGGAACAGACAACTGAAAAGGAATTTTCCCTTTCAAGTAGTTTTAAGTAGATATCAATAGAATATACTGGAATTTGAAATACCAACTAATGCATTGTATTTACATTTAATACATCCGGATTTAATTATTCTTTTAAATTATCAAACCTTAGCAGTTTTCAAGCATTTTATGGTCTTTACCTGTCACGGGGTGTAGGTAGGCTATAGTTTATTTTTATGAACGAGAGAGTAATTAGCATAATTTTAACTGGTACCTTCGACCACTCCATGGGCGTGCTCAAGATTAATTGAAAAATGACTTTGAATAATTGTAAAAAATAAATAAATTATTTCAGTGTTATAAAGTGTTATGTGTATGTAAACAAAAGTGACCTCTTTTATCACACACTATATTAGAACTGACTGGCCTACATTAAAAAGGGTTTTAAAAAATTCACATTTTTTTTATTTTTAAAAATTACAAAAGAGAAAAAGAGTTTTTAAAACCGTCTAAGGTATGTTAAATAGATGAATAAAAATATTAATATAAAACTTACAGCTACTTGTTACAAATCCAAATCAGATTCAGAAGATGAACTTTCAGAACCAAGATTTATAATAACTGGCTCGATCATTTTATCAGTAATATTGTCCAGCTTCCACATTTTTTCCTCTTCTTTAATAGTGTGATTTACTGCCTTTTCCCAGTTTTCAGGTTTTACATTATTTACGGCCTCCAAAAACAACTGTTTAACATCATGAATTTTAAAAGTGGTATTTTTTCTTGAAACTTCACTCTTTATCTGTGCCCATACCAGTTCAATCGGGTTTAATTCACAATGATATGGTGGGGATCTAAGTACTGTCATTCCACGATTTTTGGCAATTTCATCAATTTCGTATTTTTTAAATTTTTCTTTATGAAGGGCACACAACGAATAAAGTTCCTTTCTTATAGATCCGGGATGGTACGTAATATTTTTTGAACTCAGCCAATTCTGCAAGTCTTTTTTTAACCACTTGGTTGTGGGCAGTCCTTCTATAAGTCTGGAGTGATAACTTGCATTATCCATTACTATTACACAGTTCTTAGGAAGAAGATCTATCATTTGTTCGAACCATTCTTGAAAGACATCAGCGTTCATGTCTTCATGGTAGTCACCGGTACGAGTTGATTCAAAAGTTAATAAACCACCTTCAACAAAACCGTCTGAACTGCCAATGTGTACTATTATCAGCCTGCGTCCCTTTCCTGATGGTGGGTTTAAACCAGTAGATAAGTTATTTACAAAAGCGTGCCTTTGACTTGTAACAGTTTCATCCTGCCAAAATTTATTTGGTGTATGACCCTCGTTGATCCATGTTTCATCAAGATAAAATATTTTTCTTTTTTGGTTTCTCATTTCCTTTATGGTTCTTAGAAAATGTCTTCTCCATATGACAATATCGCTTCTTTCTAATAAAATAGACTTTCTGGGATTCTTTTTCCAGCGGAAGCCTATTTCTTTTAAAAGTTTCCATAACGTACTTCGACTCATTTCTGGGTAATCCTTATCATCTCGAACTGAGACAAGAACTTTATCCAATGTTGGAAATTCTTGTCTAAAGAAGAATTCATGCACTTTCCGTCGAAGTCCTTCTTTAAAATGATATTCTATTTGAAATTTTGGTTTCCCTGGAGCATTACGTGGCATTTGAAAACTACCACGTTTCTCTTCTTTAATAACTCTGTAAATCGTAGATTTCCCAACACCAAGTGTACTGCTAACTAACTCAACGGTCTCATCAACACTTTCACATAAACGTTTGTCTGTAAATGATTTAAAACAATTAAATATTAATGTTTTTTCATTAACTGTTAAAGGACCAATTTTTCGGCGTTTACACGGCACTTCCAAATTTTCCATAACACTAGTATACACAATAAACTGCACCTTGCAACTGAAGTACCTACTTTTAGTGAACTGTTAAGAATTTTGAATACGCCACTTGGACCTTCCTACAAAATGGAAAAACCCACTATCACATTTTCTGTGGAATAAGTTTAGAAGGTAATTATCTAGTCAATTACTGTCGTAGATTCCTGGAATTAAAGAATTAAATGTTTGATTGTTGAAACCCTTACTTCGTGGAATGCACTCATTTCAGATAAAATAAAACGTTTTATTTTATCTAAAGAATTAAACTTTATTTTGCAAATAGGTAGGTACTTATTAAACTTTTATTGGTTATATATAACCAATAAAATAAACATCTTACATTTCTTGCAAATTCATTAGTACCTGTTAACCTCCATCACTCCGACACTGGCAACCTTATTTAGGGATTAGTAACCCTCACAACTATTGTATTCTATTCTGCTCCAACCTTTATACCTGGTGGTCATACTCAATTTAAAATTGTTTTCCTATATACTTCTGTAAACTTGTTGACAAATATCTGTTTTTCATTGAGTCACCCGTATCAACAGTTTAGGGATTTGCATACATAATTTATTGTTTTATTACTCTCTCATACATAAAAATACACTATAGTAGTGAGTTTGCAAATCTCACCGGGTCTATTTTAA